GGACAAAAAGTCCGATTAAGTCCAACTTTGATCGAGAGGTCAATCGACGGATTCAACTCAACTCGGCAGCGTTCGGGAGATTGGGACACATCTTCTCGTCAGGCATACCTGAAAACCTCAAAACTAGATTGTACAACCAGTGCATGTTGCCAGTGAGGACCTATGGATCTGAGATGAAGTCCTTCACTGCTGGCCATATAAGTAAGCTCAAAGTCGCTTAGCGAGCTATGGAGAGAGCTATGCTCGGGGTTTCTATACGTGATAAACTTAGAATAAGAATATCCGCAGTAGTAAGCTGAAGTGGCAATGGGCCGGCCATATAGCTCGAGAATCGACAACCGATGGGGGAAAAAGATTCTCGAGGGGCAGCCTCGTATCGGCAGGCGAAGTGTAGGCTATCCCCTCACTAAATGAAGTGAAGACCTGGCAAAACATGCAGGAAGTTGATGGATGCAGGTGGCTCAGGACCGTGCTATGTAGCATTCCTTGGGGGAGGCCTATGTTCTGCAGTGGACTTGTGTAGGGCTGTAATGATGATGATGAAAGTTTATAAAATAATCATTAAAACCCATTTATTTTATCAGTTGTCACAAAACATATTTGCACCATATATTTTTCGTATACATTTTAGCACAGAACACTTCTGGCAATGCTCTCTATCTGTTTGTGAAGTTCCATCACAATAGGTCCTGTCATTCCGGGGATTAATAGCGTCAGACAGAGACAAAATTAAAAAAAATGGTTATGGCTGAACCAATAATGATGAAACTTTACGAACAGATAGAGCGCAATGCTAAAAAGTTGCAGATTTTGTATAAAAAAATAAAATAAAAATTGATTTAATAAATGGTCTATAATTCTATATAACGCGACATTAATAGATCCTACCCGACCCGGGCGGCTTGCTAATTATGTAGCAGCTAGTAATATTATAGTTAAAAAAAAAACTTCAAAAACACGCATGGATGAAAATTGATAATGCACGCTTGAGCTGTGATTAGGGTTGCCACCCGTACTATATTCTAATACTGTCTATATCTTAGTATTCAATTGACTGAAATATAGTTGAATTAGGGATAAAAATACTATATTTTAATCCCTAATTCAACTGTCGCGCTTTTTTTTTTATTGATCCACCAACATTTGTATCATTACTTACATGCTAATTAAATACAATGAAGCGATAATAACTAAAATGTATAAATAATTACAGGCGGATACAACATGCAAATAACTTTCTCAGTACTGTGTACCTTTTTATATCAAGTGATTGGAAGTTTGGACAAGTATGTTTTACGGATAGATTTTTTTCTATCATGAATGTAAAATTGAAACAAGAAAGAAAATGATCATGTATTAATTTAATTAAAAATTAATTCTTAATTTACTTTAATGGGAATCTAAATTGCTTAGGCTCCTATAATTATTTTAAAAGTAAGGTAGAAGGTGAGGTGGGTAGATCATTGATGACCAAAGCAAAGAGCTTTAACAAATATATATGGAAAAATACTTAATTTAAAAATAAATATGTCCTTTTTCTCCAGAATGTCTCAAAAGTACTATATTTTTGTATCTTTATTGGAAACATATAGTATATATACGTTAAAAAAATTAATAAATGAAAAAAAAACTAGTTCAAGTAAAAAAGCGCGTATAAATAAGTCGCTTAATACAGGAGCTACGTAGACTTTTCTATAAAGCAAGAGGAAAAGTTCTTACAGTGTTTCATTTATATTACGATGCTAGTTAAAAGCTTACCGGAATGTTGTGATTACGGAAAACTTTCAGGTTCGTTACGATTGATCTCCTCGGATCTCCCGAGAAACTAGTCCGTGCTTTGATTAATTAATAAATGAGTTTGTTTTTACTACATCGCTTTATATTTTGTAAGCACGCGGATTTATTGAAATACTTGTCGACCTAAGTATTACAATAAACCAGTTGATACAAGTATTGCAATAAAACCTGTGTGGTTGCAAAAATATAAAGTGTAAGTGAACAAGAATTTGTATTGCATATAAGTAATAATTGTTCCGCGGCTTTGTCCTTTTGCAATTTTATACGTGGTAAAGTCATGCTGCACCTATATTTGTATAGTTGTAGCACAAAAGAGTCGGCTTCCCCTGGGAAGGACCACGCTCTCACAGAATATCAGCGTCAAAGCTTAACGCTGCTGTGTTTCATTTTAGTCCTCACGGATGACAACGCATGTGTATTTTAATTCTTAAGGGTACACTAGTCGCTTATTCTTCCATACAAACGTAGTCTGGCGATTACTCCACTGTTTGATGGTGTACGTTCAAAATGAAAAATGATTTCAATTTGTCTCATCATTATCTAGCCCTGTACGGAAACGAAAAAAGTAAAAAAAGAGTATGTTTAAAAGTTATAAGCGTCGAAAATTCCAATTTCAACACTAGTTTTAACACATCTTTGGGCGGAAATAAATACCATACAGGGATAGATTAGTTGTTCAAAAATGCAAATAATTTTATTTTAAACATATACATTCAATAGATTTTTCATGACATTCAGACTACCAAAGGTCTGTTTATAAAATTTCGCGCGCTCCTTTTTGTTGTAAATCATCTTGCCTTTCGCTACAAATTATTTCCCCGATCAGTGGGACGGACGGTGGGGGGGGGGGGGCGCAGCGCGCACCCACACATGCTCACTAGGTTAGCCGCTGCTATCTATTTACGGTTGTAATATCTACATATCTACATCTTTATTTAGAAAAATTGCTTCCTTTTGTTCGTGTCCATTGCTGAAGCCGGGATGAATATAGCTGCTAAAATGTGCCCATAAGTTTGTTGAAGCACATTTAGTTAAAATTGAAAACAGGTAGGTACATAATAATGAACTTTCGATACAGGTAGTACATTAGGTACTTAACTACTTTATTTTGCTAACTAACGGAAACATCTCATAGATAAGCACGATTATCGAAAATCTTAAAATTATCTATTAATTTAATTAGAATAGGTAATTTTTAGATTTTCGATAATCGTGCTTACGTATAGGAATCTCATATCCTAATATACCTAATGTAATTTATGTAAGTACATAAGAATCTAAGAATGGTAGTCAATAATAAATAAAATTTGTTTTGTAAGTTGTTTTTTTTAAAACACTTTAACACAACAAAAACATGAAACTGAGAAGAAGCACCCGATCTGCCGAAACAAACTCAGAGAGGTCAGTCCAGGTATTACATTGGTCATATCATACGAGAACCAGGCTAATATGGTCCTTTGAAGAATCATACAGATGTGAGTGGACAACTAATTACTTTTTAAGATTCCGTACCCGAAGGGTAACCAGCAGGGCCCTATTACGGAGCCTCCGCTGTCCGTGTGTCTGTCTGTCAGCGGGCTGTATCTCATGATCCGTAACAGGTAGATGGTTGTAATTTTCACAGAACGTGTATTTCTGTTGCCGCTATAACAGCAAATAGTAAAAATAAATTTGAAATTAAAGGATTTTCTACTAAAAAAAGAAACGTGTATTTTTGGCTTTTTTTGATCGATAGTAATATGTATAGGTACTATTTAAATCTGGTAAGATGGTACGGAAGCTCGGAAGTCCGATTCGCACTTGGCAAAATATTTGTTTATATTTAACCTTGCCTCAGACATACTCATACTTTTTTATATATAATTTACTATACCTCCATATAAGCTACTACTAAATAAAATAGTAGTAGCTTTGCTATGGTATTATAGTATATTTTGGATTAGATATAATTTATTACAGAATAATACGAACTGTATAAAAACTAAGGAGCGCATCAACCTACCTCAGATATTGGGTTATGAATACAGATAAGTACACATAGGATTTAGTTTTTTTTTTTTTTTTTTTATAGAAGAGGGGGCAAACGAGCATGTGGCTCACCTGATGTTAAGTGACTACCGCCGCCCATGTAAATCAACCGCAACACCAGGGGAATTGCAGGTGCGTTGCCGGCCCTTTAGAAAGGAGTAAGCTCTTTTCTTGAAGGTCCCCAGGTCGTATCGGTCCGGAAAAATCACCGGTGGTAAATTATTCCACAGAGAGGTTGTACGCGGAAGAAAACTCCTTTTGAAACGTACAGTGGTGAACCGCCAAGCATCCAGATGGTGTGGATGGTATCGGGACGTTTGCCGTGTAGTGCAAGCTTTTTAGAGGCCAATTTGGCCTTCCCTTCCAAGTGACCACGAAACTGCACGTCACTCGATATGTCGACGCCGAGGATTCCGATACTGGCTGAGGCAACAAGGGGAGTGCCTTGAAACTGAGGGGATACGACAAAGGGGTTCTTTTTAGCGGTTAACGCGCAAACTTGTGTCTTCTGGGGGTTAAACTGGACTAGATTTCCGATAAACTGGACTAGACTAGAGATCCGAGACTCTGTCCAGCAGAGACTCGACTTCAGACACAAGTTTTTCCCGGCACTCAGAGACGTTTTCCCGAGAAATATTGGCTCGGCCGGTGTAAAGAGCATCACCAGTGCTGTCATCTGCATAGCAATGAATGCTACGGGTTTGCAACATATCATTGATATGCAGAAGAAACAGCGTTGGCGATAGCACGCAGCCCTGTGGAACACCAGCATTAATAAGCTTGCAATCGGAGCTTGCACCGTCTACAACGACCTTGATGCTCCGATCTGCAAGAAAACTGGTGATCCAATCGCACAATTTCTCGGAAAGCACATGGAAGGGAGCTTCGAAAGAAGCGCTTTGTGCCAAACCCGATCGAAGGCCTTCGCAATGTCCAAACTAACGGCCAATGCCTCCCCCTTGGACTCTACTGCCTCCGCCCATCTGTGAGTTAGGTAGACCAGAAGATCACCAGCTGACCTACCACGGCGAAAACCGTATTGGCGGTCACTAATCAGCTGGTGATCCTCAAGGTACCTCATGAGCTGGCAGTTTACAATGGACTCCATTGTTTTGGAGAACAAGGAGGTGATGGCGATAGGCCGGTAGTTGGACGGGTCTGAGCGGTCGCCTTTTTTAGGGATCGGGTGGACGAAAGCCGTCTTCCATGATTTTGGGACTACGCCTAGGGGGTAGGAGTACCGGAAAAGACGCGTTAAAACCGGTGCCAACTCTGGAGCACACGTCCTCAGCACAATTGGGGGGATTCCATCAGGCTCACTCGACTTATGGATGTCCAGGGAGAGGAGTGCTTTGCGAACCGAGCGCTGAGTGAACTGCACTTCCGGCATGGAGCACTCACACCGCGGGATGGTCGGCGGCGTACTCCCCCCGTCATCGAGAGTCGAGTTAGACGCAAAGAAAGAGCCTAGAAGATCGGCTTTCTCCTTTGCGGTGTGGGCCAGTGAGTCGTCCTCCCTGTGCAGAGATGGAAGAGAGGGCTGACAGAAATTCCCCTGAACAGCCTTGGCGAGAGACCAGAATGCACGGGTTCCAGAAGGAAGACGAACTAGTCTCTCGCCAATTCTGCCTATGTGCTCTGACTTTGCCTTGGCAATGACTCTTTTGAAGGACCTAGAGGCGGAATTATACTTCTTTTTTAGAGCGCTGGTGTTTACATCCCTGGACGCTGATGCGTCAGCCCAGGCTCGGTAGCACTCCTGCTTATAGCATGATGCTATTTTACAGGAGCGACCAAACCATGGCTGAGATTTGCCTCCAATGGGCACCACAGAGGAAGGAATAAAAAGTTCCATAACCTGAAGTACCACATCAGCGACAGAATCCGCAACAACGTTGGGATCGTCCGGCGAGAAGCAAACCCGCCCCCAAGGGTAGGATGCAAAGAAAGACCGCATCCCATCCCAATCGGCTGACCTATAGTGCCAAACACGGCGGCAGCCTGCAGAATGCAACCGCGATTTCAGCGTGAGTGGCACCACACACCGGACAAGACAATGGTCCGAGGAGCCTAAAGGGGCGTCGACGGAAATCTGATATCCGTCCGGGTGAGAGGTCAGCAGAAGGTCCAACAGGGAAGGTGCATGATCCTCCACATCTGGAATCCGCGTAGGCGAAGTAACCAGTTGTGTCAGACCATATGCCAAGGCAAAATCATGAACAGATCTCCCCGCATGATCGGTTAAACGTGAACCGAGCCATTCGGCGTGATGGGCGTTAAAGTCGCCGAGGATCACGACCTCTGCGGAGGGGATCTGCTGTAGCAACGAATCTGCAGCCATTTGGACGTGGTCGAAGAGTCGGTCTGTTTCGGCATTACCGCTATGGGACCTATAGAGGCACCCGTAGACGCGCGGATGGTCGTCGCTGTCTACGCGTAGCCAAAGGATGGACAGGTCCGAACCTTCAAGTCTGCCGAGGCGTCGAGAACAGATGTCATCTCTGACGTAAACGCAAACTCCAGCCCGAGGCACAAAGGAGTGTTCCACTTTGTACCCCGGGCAGGAGAGATACGAGACATCAGCCGGAGAGGACACCTGCGTCTCGGTCAGAAAGAGCAGAGCCGGCCCCGCCGTCTCGAGATGGTAGTGGACGGCGTTTAGGTTAGAGTGAAGTCCCCTGATATTGCAGAAATTCACGGACAGCGTGGCAGGGGTCGCCTTGGTCCTGTTGCTCCGTTTGCCCCGAGCAGTTTTAGTCTTGAGCGGAATATTGCCCCCCCCCCCAGAATACGCGGGGCAGCCTGAGCACCCACGCTCAGAAGTGGAGAAACATGGTCGTGGATGCTCAGCGAGGGATTCTCCAGGGGTGCTGGTACCCTCCTGGGGTAGTCTATCGTTTAATTCCGCTACCATGTTGATGGGGGGGGGATTTGGGCCTCCGGCCACCTGCACTCACCAGACGAAACGCGGAAGCAGAGCTTCCACTTCACGCTGGTATTCTGTGAGGTCGTGGTACCACCCCGGTTTGAGCCGGCCCGTACGTGCGACAGCAAAGCTGCCGCGTGGCTCTACCACTGTTAGTTAGTTTCTAAGTTGTACATATTTTATAGCATTCGTTATGAATAGCATAAACAGGCCAAGCCCCCTAGCCTACAAAAGTTTCGTAACGAATCTCTTTCTACAATCGCGCCTTTTATTTGTTTGGACTGACCACCTGACTCGTTCAGTGATGTCATTCCCATACAGTGTTTAGTTTTCAACTAGCGTTATCTATCATAAAATAAATTAAAATTTTATTTATATTTCGCTAATTGTGTCTGTTCTGTGAATTTGATTTACAATCGATCTCTAAATTGTAGTTTTCTTCTAATTACTTACCTTGCCTAGACGTGTTCTTTGGACTTCTGTAAGGAAGTCTGTGCTGTTAGTATTCCGTTTATATACGTTACTATTTTGATAGACGTTTGTACTTGTCCCTGCAGTGACACAATGCCTATTGTTGATAACTTTTTATGTACTAAGAGAATATTGCAAACCGCTATTGAACACAAACAATCAATAAACAATTTACAAACTAACATTTTTTATTTATTTAATTAACCTATATAAAAACCCCACTCACATCAAAATCGCGCTGTCGAAAAAGCAGTTATCCTGACACTGGCTGGTATATACTCGTACTTCGGGGAGTTCCCTGTGGGCTATTATAGCTAACTAGTTATGGTAAGTAAATACCTATTTAGAATACATATTACCTACAGTAATATTTGCATAACCTACAATAAAATACAAAAACATAAAGAAAACATAATTATGTTACACTTTTTTGTGTTTGTTTTGAGAAATGGTTATATTTTTTTCAAAAAATTTTTTTTATGTTACCGTTTTTAGTTGAGAGTTATGTCCCTTTAGTGGGTACAGGCGTGATATTATATTGTGTGATTGCGTAAAGAATGCATAGATAGGCGATAGCAGCATTCGCGGTTGATTTGCTGTCATTTATTGAAGAGTGCCCCCGATTTCTCCAAGATCCCATCACCAGATCCTGACCTAACCATCGTCAATTACCGTGGGATTATCTGGAAAATATATCCTTTCAAACAAAAAAATAATTTTCCAAATCGGTTCAGGCATCTTCGAGAAATCGGAGGACAGAACATACATAAACAAAAACCAACGAATTGAGAACCACCTCCTTTTTTCTAAGTCGGGTAAAAATTAGGTAAAAACAAATAAATGAAATTATTATATAATAACAACATCTACTTAAGTTCACATAAGAACTTTCATAATAACAACTACATAAATTGGGTTCATAATAATTACGTTTCACACAGCCGATCCTAAGTTATAATAACATGAAATTTGTTTTCTCTCTCCTTTCTCTTTTTAAAATACGCTACCACAGTAGGATTTTCTCCAGTATCGTGGAGGCAGTTTACAAACATAAATTGCACAAGGACAAACATCCAGACCCGGAACAACTATTTGTAGGCCATACAAATACTTGTTCCGTGCGGGATTCGAACCCGCGGCCCCCAGCGCAGCCACTCATTGCTAAGCCACTGCGACACGGAGCTCACAATTGCCGTTTGAGTTTATGTTATTATTCAAAAAAGAATCGCAATATGTAGGAACGTGATGACGCCGTCGCGCATTTCGTCACTCAGGAGTGCGTATGTGTGTGCGCACTAGCTTCTTACTGCTCATCACAGCGTCTATCCCTTTCGCACGTGATGTCGCTTGAGATAGCATGCATTTTTGGGTGATTCTTTGAAACGAGGGTTTTCGACTAATTCTTCTGGCTTCAATTTTTTTTTGTTATAAATTATAATATTAGTTTATCTTGGTCGTAAAATGAATTAATTTTATATTGAAGGTACTGATTTGCTTCCAGTAGTTAATGAATTAGGTTATCCCGATGAATGAACCAGCCAGATGAATGATGAGTAAGGCAGAAGAATGAGCTTTTGCTAACATTGTTCTTCTTTATCCTTCCTTATTCCTTTTTCTTCTGTCAAAGTATATTTGGTAAATATTTGGTGTTAAATATTTGCTTCTATCCTTCTTTGTGACAAACTTGTGCCCTTTTCTTTATGTATACATTTGGTTCTAATACTCTCAAATTAACTATTTCTACGTTTACGTCTCTTTCATTATTTACTGTCCAAAAGGGTTCACCGATATCCCTGCATTGTTATTTGAATTAGCTAGGGGGGTGACCATTAAAGATTTCTGACATCCGTTTTCCAAGAGATAAAAACCAAGTTGCTTCATGTGGTTGTAATTAACAATATGATACATACAGTTTTTATCAGTACAACTCAGTTTGTTTTCTTTTTTTCAATGGTTACCATAGGAGAGTCCAAGTTCCAGACAATTTGATGCATTTTGATGCATCCTGGAAAATCTTTCAAATTAGGTGGGAAAAGCAAGCTCTTTTTTACTTATGTCATATTCAGAAGTAGTTCTCACTTGCACTTTCTTTAAATATTGATACATAATTCATGGTGCAGGTATTCATTTACCGTACAAAAGAATTATATTTGCTGTGTCTTCTCATTATTCAGAAAATATATTACCGAAGTATGTAAAGTTAATTGTTTACGACTACCACCGAAATGGTAGGACTGTATTTCTTCATTATAATTAAGTGCATAATTTTCGCTATAATCAATGTGAAAAGTACACTCACTCTCTTGTGAGTTTATTATTTTCTATCTTGTTAACGTTCTTTGAAGTTTCTGAAATCTTTTCGTTGAGTAGCTTTATTACCACTGCACGAACACTGAATTGCATTGCATTCAGTGTTGCTTCAAAATTTTCAATAAACCCATATATTGAAAGCTTAGCGTTTTATTTTTATTTTTTCGGTAGTTCTCATTTTTCTTTCCGTACCCTGAATCATGTCTTATTTCCTCTCCCAGTGCCAGTACGTAATTTCAATAGAATTATTAAATTCCTGTTAACAGACTTTCTCTTCTTGCACGCTAAATACGTTCGATGCAAACAATCCACATTGTACACGTCTCAACATACTAAATCGAGAAGATCTTGGGAGGTCTTAGCCGATAATATCTTCTGTTGAGATATGCGCAATATCCTAGATGGTCCTGGTATAGGCGACTCCGGTTCTCTGCATACAAATAGGTTTTCTGAAGGTGACGGATCTACAATTTTGTCTTGTAAAACTATCAGTTCAATATCCGACGTAATGCTGGGACTTTGTGGTTGGATATTTTTTACTAGTAGGGCCGTTGTTTTTTTTCTTGGGTAATATGACTTGTAGTTCTTTCTTCACCTCTTTTTTTGTAACCTTTGTTGTCCAAGATTCACTTCACTTATAGGTAGTTGTTTCTTTTTCTCCTTTCTACTTATGTAGTTTTGCTTATTCTTCTCTTGTTTTTCGTTCTATAAGGCATCATTATTTTTTACTCTTTCATATCTCTTTTTTCTCTGCTAGCCCCTTTTTTCTAAACTTTCTTCTCATGTCTGTTTCTATGATTTTGCTATTTTAAAAATACAGATCTGAGATAAGAAAATGGGATCCAAATGCTTAGCCTAATTTGTACCTTTTTAAGACAACAGATGTTACTTTATAAGCTTTAACAATGTACATCTTAAAGATATTTAAAAAAATCTGGAACACAAAATCTCAATTCTGTACCGAATCATATGATATTTGACCCGTTCAAATTCATCTGGTTTTAAGAGCCAGATGAAACCAAACTAATGAGGGCCAGACAAATGCGGAATTTGAAGAAAATCAAATCCTGTTCCTCTATTTATAATCGTACAAAATCAAAGAGGTAATTAATAGTGATGAATAATCTGATTAGAGATTATGTTTTCGTTACAAAACGTAAGCATGTCCACAACATCTATAAAAAAGGACTGATTAATTATGCTACTTACCTGACAAATGCCAGATCACGATATTGTATCGTAGTTTTTTGGCAAAATACAACCCTGCACGAGAGCAGCGTATGACGAATCAGGACTGGATGGCGCGAACAATTACAAGTCTGGAATAATTTAATAGAATACTTTGAGACATACGTAAAATTTATGCTCCGACGTATTGAGCCAGATGAATGATTAGTCGCGGACAATAATTTTTAATGTTACGTTATTCCAAGAACATTTAATTGTTTTGGATGGAAATATGAAACTATCAAAAAACAAATATTCAAATATCGATACAACTTACTAATTTTAGTCTATTGCAAAAGATAATTTCAAAAAATAGTTTAGTGCAACAAAAATCGTCATTTGGACGCGCCAGATGAATTAGATTTTAATGTTTTCTGTTGACTTAAATTAAGTTTATTTTAATTAATTGCATTTAACTACATAAGGCCTCGATAGACATTTTACTTTAAAATTATATTTGAAATGGATGTTTAAATTGAATATTATTTTGATGCGTTCTTCAGTAAAAATCATGTTAAAAATGCGTTTCAAAGAATCACCCTTTTACCCCGCCCACTATTTAGTGCGTGCCATCGACTAGGGCTACCTTAATCGAGGATAGATGTAGATGCTTGTGAGCCACAGCATCCACTTACCATCAGGTACACTGTGTGCTTGCTGCCACTTACATTCTATTAAAAAATATCTATGTAAACTGTCTTCATGATACATGAGGAAATCTTAGCGTTGGGTAAAGTTTTTATTTGAAGGATTAATAATAATAACTAGCTGTGCCCGTGAACGTAGGCCTATGTTCAGCAGTAGACTTGTGTAGGGCTGTAATGATGATGATGATTTGCTCGCGACTTCGTTCACAAGAATCTTTGTTAATAATTTATTTGGGACGCCCTAGACGAAAACTTATCGACCAAATTGGCGATATATTGAAGATGAGCCAAATTAAGAGTAACTTTAACCAACGAGCATGTACGCGTAGGCAT